TTTTTATCTCATCCACTTTTTTTATCTCATCCACATAATAATGGCATAATGGCATAATAATGGCATAATCCATAATGGCAATGAGTGAATTCACCAGTGCTGCCCCTTCAATGTTGGGAGTCAGTGGGTGTGGGGGCTAATTCATAATTTTTGGGCTTTCAGAGTGGGCAGTTATTCAAATAAATACAGTAATGGCCTGTCGACTTCTGTCTTAGACATTCAGACCTGACATCTGTAATCTGCAGTGCTTTCAAGCTGGATATAGCTGTCTTTACTATTGATTGCTCAAATGGTCATTGTTTGGATTATGTATACAGAAAAATCTTTACAGAAGTATATTATATATCAGTGCCAGGTTTTCTCTAAGGCACTGAATTGATATATGTTATGATTCTGAAGAAGCTATATATGTGGGAGCAAAATATTATTTATCCTATATTTTTGTTCAAAAGGCAGAGATCAGGTAGCTGTGGGTGTAGCTCCCATTGGCTTTGCAAACAAGAGTTCAGAGAGTGCACTGTCCATCTACCCACTTGCTATAGCAAACTGTAAAGAGAAAAGGTCAGTGCATACACATCATAATAATTAAGTGCTTAACTGAAATAAAGAAAATAAGTTAAATTACCTTTTCAACTTTGCAATTAATGTCAGTGTTATTCTCCTTTGGAATTCAAAGGCCTGGGTCAATGTCAGCACCACGTAAATTTGCACGTAAACCCTTCTAGGTCTGTGCTGTAGTCATGTGGGGCATTTGAAAACTTGAAAAATCCCTGTAGCACTTGTTAAATTTTGTGGGCTGTTTGATGTAGCGTATCTGGGAGGAGCACACTTTTTGAGTAAATATGGTGTCCCATCGGCCTTCTGCATGCTGACAATCTTATTTTTTTTAATTTCAAGTGAATGTTATTGACTGTGTATTGTGAGCAATTGCATTGCAGACAACCTAGTTGTTGAGTACACTTATTATGTGTTTTTCTACTTCCAAATTAGAGACAATTTAAAGCAGCTCCTGAGAAATCTAAATTCCCAGAAGAACTGCATTAAAAAACATGGCATTGTAGTGGATGGCAGAAAGTACAAAATCAAGTTCACAGGTATTACAAAATTCTTTGATTACTCCGTTAGATGTGTATCTTGAATGCAAACAAAATGAACTTGGACCTTCTGTTCCAAGCTCTCCTTTGATCAGAGTGGTGAACACATTGATTTTTCTGTATGATGTTTGTGCATTTATGTGTGAGAGGTGTTAAGTGAGCTGGGGCTCACTGTATTATACTTTGCTATCAGTACAAGTGTCCCTAACACCTCAAGTACAAATTTTTTACAGTAACTCTGGACTACAAAGCCCTGTTGCTTCTTCTGAATAAGAAAAATGATGAGGACTTCACTCTTGGTGGAAAAGGCTACAATGTTGAATGCTGTGCCTATTGCGATGCTATTAGGGTAAACAATATCTCTAAATACAGTATGCATATCCTAGTTATTGTATTGAATATAACAATTATTGACTTCTGCCATTCATATTGATGTCATATAGAGTAATTGCTGGCTTACAATTCAGATGTAAGTGAATAAATCTAGCTATGTCCAATTGTAATATTGTGTGATATTTAGAACTTGAAATCTTTTGCTGTTTATTTATGAAAGGCTTGTACATCACATGGAGCTGATCCCGATGAGGCATGTTTAGATTGCTTAAGATCAAAAGCTAACATTGGAAGGTAACTAAAAGCACAATTATTACAAGTTCAACTCACCCACATAAAGGATAGGCCCTGAATTGACCAAATTCCAGCACTTATAATAATTATCATTACGCACATGTATAGATGGAACAATGTTACATGACTATATAGTT